CCCTAGGATCATCATGAGGGAAGAGAATGAGTGGAATGTGGGATCCTACTCAGAAAAGCAGGGACACCAGGAAGAAGACAGTGATGATGGCTTGGAAAGACAGAGTAGCTGAGTACTCTAGACTTCTGGAGACAGAAAGGCTGTGTGCTGGTGGGCATAAAGGTGACTTGCAAAATGTTCACTTTGGTTGTTTAAATGATTATATATTCCTTTGTGTTTGTATGTACATCTGAATAAATAAATGAGGGAATAGAGGCAAATACTGTTAACCAGTAATGCATAGAGGGGATTATAATTATTGCAATGAAACAAAATATGATTGGTTGAGTGCAAGACTGATGTTCTGCAATGTAAACTATCACTCTGTACACAATAAAACTTCAAATAAATAAAGAAATGTTCTATCAAGACAAAAAATGATAAGGATGGATCTTCAATGTTATTGCAAAGTAAAATAATCCAACACAAAAAAGTTCATATTGAATGAATACGATTCTTTATTGCATGAATTCAATTACATTAAATTTGGCAAAATGTAAAATTGTTGCCTAATAGGTAGAGAGTTCATATATAGGGGTTTCTAAAATGTTTTAGAAATGTATACTGGTAATGGTTGCACTAAATTTTAAATATAAATAATGGCATTAAATTGCATACATAAAATGGTTAAAATGTCTAATCTTATGTCATACATATTTTACACCATACTATTTGTAAACCCTATACAGGGTTGCTATGGGTCGGAACCGACTCGACGGCACTTAACAACAACAACAACTATTTGTAAAATAAATATATAAATAAATAATATAAGAAAAATATTTTGCAGAGTTATATCCCTCTATCATGTACTTACTTTATGCCCCATACATCATCTTTTATAAATAAATTGTGAGCAAACTGTGAGTATTAGACCAGAAACAGGAAAACATCTTAGGTAACATTGAAGGAGATAAAATGATCCTGTCTTCTGTTGGTGAAACTACAGTTAAAGCCATAGGCTGCAGACCAAAATGTAAGCAATATGAAACCACTAGCCAGTCCATGGAAGAAGAATGTGGCAGTCTGCATCTGTAAAAGATTTGCAGCCTTGGAAACACTGTGTTTATTTTAACTGTTAATAACGCAGCATAGGATTGCTATGAGTTGGAACTGACACAACAAAATTGGGGTTGGGGTCGTGTCTACATCTTATCAGTGTAGAAATAGAGTGGGTTGGCATTCAGCATTCATTCCTAAATTCTTTGATTTATTTTCTTGTATTACATAGATTTGTAATTAGGAAACTATATTTTCTAGGAACATAAGCATCAAGGGTTTCATATGGAATTATAAGGATATTGGCCAAATG